TGACTTATATTGTTGCAAAAAATGTTAATTTGGGATAAACAAATAAAATAACTTTTAAACTATTGGACCGATCACTTTAAAATTTTAACCCTATTTTAAGCACTACAAGACACATCATTCCACAAAATATAAATATTGTAAGTTTATTTTCAAAAAAGTTATTAACATTTATAAAAAACCGAAATTTTTGACTTATTTTGCAACTTTCTAAACAACAAATAAGAATAGAAACATTTTGAGGACGCCATTTTGAAGGTTTTTATATAACTTATAAGTTTCCTCTCTTCTAAAATTTGTTTAAATTGCTTCACTTTTTGCTGATAGACGAAAAAAGCAAAAATTTTCCGTTTTTTGAACTTAATTTGTTAATAATTCATTTAGTCCAAAAAATCGACTGCAGGAAACATATAGGTTTTTGTTACAGAGGTCCACACTACTCAAAACAACTGTCGTTTGCCTGGCCGGACGAGTGTCAAAAACATGGTACTTTTTTTGCTTATTTCCCTGGCCTATAAGTTTTGATTTAAATACCTTTATTTTCGTGAAACTAGGGTAAGAAAGTTATATTTGATATATTAATTTATATGAAAACTAAGATTAAAGAATTAAATTAACAAAACAAAAAAAACTGTATAATCTGTTATTAAGGCACCTAACATAGGTATATGAAGGAGAACATAAATTAGAGACACTTATCTGTACTCCAAATCAGATAAGAATTCTGATTCAATACCAAGCGTCGGCTTATAGACTTGCTGGCTTATAAGAAGGTAGGAGTATGTAGGAATATATACATCTCACAGTAGAATTCCTTTTAGGATCATCGGAATTTTACTTTTCGAATATTATTTCTCGATAAGTTTTCCCTTATTTAAAAACTTGTTTTTAGATTTAATTTTACTAGGTACGGCTAAAAAAGAGGTTCTTATTAAGTATCTAGAAGTTTTTTCCTGGATACAAGGTGAGGCAGATTCTAGAAAAGTCACTGAAATATAACATAGATACAGACCATCTCTTCATTGACTTCAAAGCAGCCTATGACAGTGTGAAAAGAACTGCATTATATAATGTAATGATAGACTTTGGTATCCCACCTAAGTAAGTTAAGTTGACCCAACTAACAATGCAAAACGTATGCTCATGCGTCGTTTGAATTGAAGGAGAAAAGTCTACGTTCTTTGACATTAATAATGGTCTAATACAGGGGGACGCGCTGGCGTGTCTTTTCTTTAATATTGCCTTGGAAAAGGCAAACAGACAATTAAATATTAGAATTAATGAAACTATTTTTAATAGATCGACGCAAATTCTCGCATTCGCTGACGATATAATTATAGTGGGCAGAAGTATGAGAGACATGGTGCAGTGTTTTACAAGGTGTGCGGACGCAGCAAGTGAATTAGGACTTAGTGGTAAACGAGGAAAAACCAAATATATGTTGGTTTCTAAAAACCCCCGAAATATCCAACAGAGAATTCAAATTCACAACCATACCTTTGAGCAAGTCAAAGAATTGGCATATCTTGGATGGCTATTGTAGTAAGCGCAACAAACACGACAAGCGACGAAATAAAAAGACGCATAGCAATAGCAAACAGAACTGTTCACGGTCTCCAGAAACATTTAAAAAATAAAAATTTAAAAAATGCAGTAAAGCATATAAAGTATGTACAAGACCTTAATAAGACCGGTTTTGATATATGGGGCTGAAACGTGGACCTTATCTCAAAATGATGAAAGACTTCTTGGTATTTTTGAGAGAAAAATTCTTAGAAATATTTTTGGAGCCGTAAATGAAAATGGGCTATGTCGTCGAAGATACAACTTTGAACCATATCAGCTATACACCGATCCAGATATTGTACAATTCGTTAAACTACAGAGACTTAGATGGGCTGGACACATTGCTAGGATGTCAAATCACGAATACACGAAGAGATTAACATTTTCAAAACCAGAGGGCACAAGAAGCAGAGGACGACCACGAATGAGATAGATAGATGTGGAAAAAGACCTACAGATTCCAAGGGTTAGAAGATGGAGGGAAGTTGCCATGAATCGACAGGAGTGGCGACTTCTGTGTGAGCAGGACAAGATCCACAACGGATTGTCGAGCCACTTATGATGATGATGATAAGGTGAGAAAGATTTGTTTCCAACGATAACTGAACTGTGATCATCCACCTATACGGGAAGTCATATTATAGTAAAATGAAATCAAAACTATTACTCTAGTAATAAGTTTCTAAGGCCCGGCGCAAATTGAGCACAGCCCACGCGCAGCCCACGCGTGGGTTATTTTGTAAAACGTGGTTTTAGACGGAGCGACGCATATTAAACCCAAACCACGGCCAGGCTACTGCCAGACTTGGTTGGCGTGGATAGAGTTGTGCTAGCAACACAGTTTCGTGGGTCGTGGGTCTCTAACCAACCTTAGTTATTTTATTTTGTGTGACCAATTTTTTGTTATTCAGTGAAAATGGAAAAGTTTATTAAAATTGTTCGAAGCTTTAGTGTCTTGTAAGATACTAGTAATGAAGATTACATGAGAACAAAACTAATATTTTCTTTATTTGTGCTAAGCGACTCGGATGTAAGTCGCCGTTATATTTATTAAAAAAAAATAATTTAAATTATTTTTTTATTAAATCAAATGAGAAATATAACAAATCGAGAACTAAGGAAAAAAACAAATTTTCATTTCCTAGCAAAATGTTTATGAACACCTAAGATGAAAATTTCAAAATAAAATTTGATGGTACTTTTTCGTCATGCTCATATTGTAATAGCTTTTATACACTGAAATTAAATTAAAAAAGAATACAAAGAAAATAGAAAAATAATAAAAAATTCTCAAATTTAAATTTATCTCGAAAACAAAATACGATCTAGAATTTTTGTATTTTTTTAACTCTTCTGTTGTTTATTACGTTATTTCACTTATTTCAACAATACCTGTAAAATCTGTCTGGTATGATTAGTAATTAGAAAGTCAATATCGGCAAAACCAGCTTATTTAAATTATGGGTATCTACCTGTTATAGTCTTTTGTTGAAGGATTTCAATTTTTTACCCTTAGCATTTGTGAAAGTTTTCAAGATATTTATATTTTCAGATTAGAAATTGTTAGTGGGATATTAGGTAAAAATTAAAAGGTCTTTAGAAAATAAAATCTTTATTTAAACTAGTATACTGAAGACAGTCTATCTTTTCGATGAATGGTATTTGCGAAAACAATCTCCTATGCATAGTCCAGCTTTTTCGTCACAATCAGCACACTCGTAAATTGTGTTTTTCCTAATTTTATGGATAGAGCATATTCTACACAAATATTTGACATGTGCGTGGGCTGTGCTCAATTTGCGCCGGGCCTAAAACTAGCTTCGCTAGATTTGGATTATCGTATAAAAATAACTTATTTTAGTAAATGCGATTCCTACATCTTCAAATAATTATACAAATAAGATCACTTACCAGAAGTTCCTTTATTGAATTATTTTCAGCTATATCAGCTTACATTGCAATTCATTATTTCAAAATTACATCCTTATTAATTTTTCCATTATTACAAATATATCTTGTTCTGAAGCTATTTTCTTGTGGCATTTTAAATTAATTACTATTTAACTAGGAATAAGCCACAATTAAAGATAAAAATACGTTTATTAAATAAACGTATATAATATATAATAATTATAAAAATAAACGTATTTTTATCTTTAATTGTGGCTTATTCCCAGTTAAATAGTAATTAATATAAATATATCGTCTGCCGGTTTCCTAATTTATATTGGTGTTCAAATTCGATCTTATTGTAGTCATCACTGGCTTTCGAACGAAAATTTTGTGCTCATGCTAAAAAACAGCTTTTTATTCGACACCGTAATTACTGTAATCTGAAATGGCTACTGTACAGGTAACGAACTGCTATAATGTGAATATTCTAGTTTAACTGCATGCTCAAAAGCGTTCAACCCCAATTTATAATCTCATAAATAAAGCAACAATTCATCAAAAAATCCATTGCCCTGTACCTTGTAAGTTGCACCTTTGTACATAGACACTTACACAAGTACTTTACGACTTAGGATTTTATTGCAATAAAATCTGCAATTTATCAGATTCTACCGGAAGGTGAATATCCTCGTAATTAAAGTATATTATAGATTCTATTACAATTATATACAGTGAAATTATGAAGTTAAGATTACAGTTAAGAAGAAGATTACAAATTAAGGGCTTAATTTGTGTTTGAACAGAAGTAAAACTAAAAGTCTCGATACTGAAGGACGTAAATAACTTATTGAGCAAACATATATGGAGATGAGTGGAAAATTTTTAAAGTACTAAGGGTGTTAGCCAAATTTTATGATGATCATCCCAATCCTGACAAGAACTCTATAGAAGCCATCGAAGAGGAACATAACAGTTATTATGAACAAGTTAAAGAAATTGCAGACATAAGAGTTTGATTTTGCAATGTATTAACTGTTTTTCGAGTAAATGTATTTTTCGAGTTTCTTTAAAATAATACTTCTATTTTTTATATAAAATTGTTCTTCAGTTTCCGTTACTTTACTTTTAAAGTACACTAAATACATTCCGTTCACATTTCAGTAGCAAACTCCACCAAACGCCATTTTAAATTTTTGATTGTTTTGGCATTTTTCTGAAGCTTAATTGTTTGATTATTGGAATGTTGTTGAGTATATATTGTTTATATATTCTTCTTCTCTTACGGAACAGTTAGTAAATCATACCAAATTAGTTTTTGGCGGTTTTCTAGAAACTATAAAAAATGGATTTAGGGCGATTTGAAACCAGATAACTCATGTGGAACGTAAAAGAGATCCAAATAAATCTTCCATAAAATACTAAATAAGTTAACAACTAAAAGGTAGTAGATAGATTTTCAATATTTCAATTATGTATGTCCATTTAAATCAATTTGGGGTCCTATCTAGGAATTATTAATAAACTAAAATAGTTTTTGTTTTCAGGACAGGCACCAATGCTAAAGGTGGTTACTGTTTAGGATTTCAACCAATAACAAAACTCTCCACTAGTAAAGAATCATTCGCACATTCACCAGCAGGAGATACTTTAACATTATGTTTAATATCATGGACGGTATGGTTTTCCAAGTCAGAAGTGGAAACTTGTTGCATAGTATTTGATTTGAACCAGTGGTACAAGGAGCAGATGCCTAGCGCTAGCAATTGGAAAGATTCAACGAATTATATTCTAAGAGCAAATATAACGGAAATGATTCAATTAAGTGGACATAAAGTAACTAATATCTTGAAAGTTTTAGCAGATGATAAATCTATAACTCAATTTATGGGAGTACAAAGACTTGAAGAACATTTTTACCCTACGTCGTTATCATTTAACTTATGGGTGTTAAGAGAGGCTGATGTTGTATTGATGCACAATCAGGGATTACAAAGATATTTACTTTCGCAAATCGAATCTGCAGGTCCTCTATGTCTGATCAGACCACAAGATATTTGCCAACAAGCTATATCTGTAGGTTTAACACCTCTTTTCATAGATATCCATCCCAATAGAGCATTAACAACGGAGACTCAAAGAGAAATAATATTAAATGTTGCTCTTGAGCATCAGTTGATAGGATGGTTATGCAAGTGTGCCTCGGAATGGGCAAACGGAAGTTTTTCTTCTGCTGGATGCTCTTTGGATCTTATTATAAATTGGGCCTATGAAAGAGCCGATATTTTAAAAACTAACTGTGATAATTACTGTGTTCCTTTATTTGATTATTCGCAAATTCGATTGGATAACAATGCAAATGTTCTTTTGAATAGTTGTACAAGACAGATCAATAGTTTGTGCGTTCTTTATAAGCACATTGTAAGCAAGTTGTGGACTTTCGTTGGGTGTTTGGACTTAGTTCAGAAACATTTAAGGGGATTGGAGATGGTTTCTGTGTATTTTGAGGTAAGAAAAGTTTTTATTTTTTAGAAAAAGTGTAATTCCAGTAAAAATATTTTTATTATAAAATTACTCGCTTCAAGATATTGTATATTTCTAAACTTTTTAAAGCGTAGAAAATCGTATCCTACGATTGTTCAAGAAAGGAAATACTGTATTAAGTTTATAAATTGAAATTAATTGCTCATTTGTGACAAAATTTTTTTTAATTTGTTTAATAAATACTAGCTTACAGTGTCTCAACTGGTCCTATGAAACTACACTACGAGCTATCTAAAAATTATATAAAATAATTCAATGCTTAATCTAAAAAATACCTAAAATGGGGAAACAAAGGACCATAACTTAATAAATCTGTTTTCTCAGTTTTCTCGAAACCAGAAGGAATAAACCGGTTTTCTCGGAAGTAAAAAATTTCAGATTTCGTAAATTCACTCTCATAATTTTTGATGTTAAACTGAATCCGTAATCATTTTTTCTGTATCTCTTGCAGTTTTAGTTTAACTAGTCCTTGCTTAGACAGACTTTTTGTTTTGTTTTGATACCATTATTAAAAATATTTAGTTTTCCGAAAGTAAATTATATGCGACTCGGTTATATGTGAGCGCCAAAGGCGACTTTGTTTTTCTCCAAAAAAGAATATTTTATTTTTTAATACAAATTAATGAATATACACTCCCATTATGATTTCGATGAAAGAAGTCTGTAACATTATGTTTATTTGAGCTATTAATATTGAGAGGTAGAAATTTTTGCGTTTTATGTTTCCGACAATGAATCTGTCAAAATATTCTCAAGCTATGCGAAAGTAGTATAACTTTAATATCTGTCAAAATAACCTAAAATGTAAAATGTATGATAATGTCAACACAATATGTTCACTAACGAATATGTGTACCAACGTAACAAAAATATGTGGAAAATCAAATATTATGTACAGTTCTCTGATCCTAACCTCAACTATCTAGTAAATTTAGTAATTATTTTTTGCTACGTTGGTTACGTTGTGATCGACTGGCAGTGGCTGGAAATTACTATACAATCAAGTATAATGTACTCATAGCCAATATTTCATTAAAAAATAGAATAATAATACAATATAAATAATAATAAATAAAAATATTTACAAAAATAATGAATATACGCTGCCATTTAAGATTGTTCTTTTTTTTCAATGAAAGAACTAATTTACTTGTGCTATTAATAGTGAGAGTTATGAATTTTTGTGTTGTATGTTTTCGACAATGAATTCTATTTCTGTTATTTTATGTATATCTTATAAAATTGCTTTAGTGCGAAAAGCTATTTTACTTAAATATGTATATACTTTTTACATATTGTGACTTTTATGGACCAGTTGTTATACCTGTACTTTTATGGACCGAAATTATTTGTCCACATATATGCGAAATGTATGCTTCTAAATTCAGTTTCATCTCTATGTAAATATTTTGCTATCTATCTATACTTGATGGAAATTCATGTTCAATAATAAAACAAAACATAAAAATACTATTATTAATTTACACAGAATATTGTCAACTTGAAATGAATGTCGTAAAAACTCTTCTTCAGAAGAGAAATTTTAAATTAACTTGTGTTTTGCAAATGAATTTGTAATTTATTAATGTATTTTCTACCTACTAATTGTCGATTAGTAACTGTCGTAAGAGGGTCTCCCCGTACCTGTTCCTTTGTTGAGAATTAAATCTAGGTACATATATTTAATGAAAAAAGTAAGTTAGCATATAGAAAATGTAGTAATAAATATCCTATTAGGGAGTATTACAAATTGTTTTGTACACGAAAATAGTTAACATTTCTTTTCTGAAAAATCTGTTGGTACATCAAGTTGTACCCCAACTTGATGTACCACCTGTAACACAATTGTTGATAAAGTCCCATATGGGAAACTAATCGATATCCTAAAAACATCAGGACTCGATTGTAAGGATATAAGACTGATCTCAAACTTATATCTCCAACAAAAAGCAACAGTACAATTAGAAAATGAACAGTCCGAGATCTTCACAGTCGAAAAAGGAGGTAAACAGGGTTGCATATTGTCACCGGCGTTACTTAACATATACTCTGGTACATCTTTAGAGAGGTTTTGGACGAATCAGAAGATGGGATTGCTGTAAATGGCCAATTTATAAACAACATTAGATATGCAGACGATACAGTGTTGCTGGCAGATAGTGCGCAGAAGCTCCAAAAGATGATGGATAACGTTGTAGAAGCATGTAACAAATACGGCCTAAAATTAAATTGCCAGAAGACAAAAATAATTACCATTAGTAAGAACACCGGCATAAACGCCCAAATTACAATTAACGATACACCGTTAGAAAGGGTGGAAAAAATATGCTATTTGGGCTGCAATGTTAAAGATACTTGGGATCACAGCTACGAAATAAAAACTCTTATTGAAACAGCCAGAAGTTCTTTCAATAGCCTTAGGAAGATTATCTGCAACTTATATTTAAGTATAACTTAAGTAACTATACGCATAAGAATTCTTAGATGTTACGTTTTTAGTGTCCTTCTCTATGGAGTAGAAAGCTGCAGCATTATAGAAGATGCCATGAAACGATTGGAGGCATTTGAAATGTGATGCTACCGACTTATGTTGAGGGTCTTATATATATACACCACACAAGTAACATAACTATTCTCCAGAAGCTAAGAAAAGACAAAGAAATTATTAACACCATAAAAAACAGAAAACTGGGTTACTTCGGCCACATCATGCGTAATGATAAATACCGACTTTACAGGGCAAGATTGAGGGTAAGAGAGGCCCTGAACGTAGACGTATATCCTGGCTGGCCAATCTTCGGAAACTGATCTATTTCGAGCTGCTGTGAATATAATGAGATGGGTCAATGTGGTCGCCAACATCTCTAGAAGATAGGCACATTTAGAAGAAGACATCAAGTTGTGGATATTCTGTGGAAATGATAAAAGTTTCTAGAAGAAACGTTAAAAGAAAATTAGCCCCAAAGATTTAATCCACACCACCGTGCGGAAGATGCGCAATGCATTAAGAAAACGAACAGTTTTTTTCTGCGAACGAACAAGAAAAAATAAGCTAAATTCTTATATGCAATACTTAATACGTAAATAATGATGATAAAGAAATAAATATAAGACTTACACACAATCAATTTATTATACCTTGTTGCCGGTTTAGTTTGTCTTTTAAAAAAGTCTTTGGCACGGACACCTTAGCGTGAAGCGTTGTCCATGTTTAATCCTATTTGTATCATCACCAAATTGTTCCAAATCATAATATTAGGAAATCGGGTGCATGGAAGGAATAGTAATTAAAATAAAATATGTTACAAATTTAAAGAAAGCATGGAAATGTTAAAACTGTTTTTCTTTAGCAAACCAATCAGATGGTTAAATAGGTTTTGAATCTAAATAAAAAAACGGGTGTGGCAGTCCAATGGGACTGCCGGTAGCACGCGTTCGCCGTTAAAACTTTATATGGGAGTCAAGCTGCACAATAATTACATATGTAATGGTATAGGTAAGAGAGAGCAGAAAGAGAAAAATAATTAGTTATATAGGTATATGGTGCATCGTTTGCTGTATATAAACATTTGACCTGTAATAGAAGTATAGTAAATAAAGGATTGTATCAATATTTTAATGAAAATATATTTTTTTATTTTCATATATGTATAAAAGGAGTTGAATGCCAAAATTTTTTTACACATACTCTGCAGTAAAATTCATTGTTTATTTTGTTATTGATATAAAAATTACAATACAATAAATACACTGCAACATAATTCAATATATTAATACAATATAAATTAAAATGTAATATTCATAAGTATTTAAAACTGCCAATATACATAACTTACTTTACGATGATAAAAATAAAAAAACCAACAACTCGGATTATGTTGTAAATTTTTATTTTATTTTAAAATTTAGCATTTTGCGTATATTACATATATTTAATAAGATTAACGTGAGGTTTTTAAATATTTCAAAAATAAAAAAGGAAATTCATAATTGGTATTCGAACTTACAAACACCAGCGTATGAACCAAACACGTAAAGGATTTGCCAATTAGACATGATACTAACGGATTTCAAAATTGACAGTTCTAGGTCAAACTGATTATTTTGAAATACAAAAACCTAAAATAATTATAAACTTTTAATAAATAATACAAAACATATCACATAAATAATAATATTAATACATATTATATTATATATATTATATATACAGTGTGAAAACCACTTATGGAATAAAATTGTTTGTGTAATTATTATAGAAAATAATCAAAAACTTTGGAACACGTTAACTTTTAAATTTAAATGTGCGCTTTTAAACATAAGTTTAAATGTACAGGGTGATCCACGCACGTCTGGCATAGTCCATAATCCTTATTTTTAATTAAACACCCTGTATATTTTTAAAATACTTTTAACAACCTGATTTCAATGAACTATATCATGTAGGGTCTATAATGAATAATACAAGGTGAAATTTTGAAATTAATAATTTATCACGTGTTATGGTATTATTTTAAATTAGCTAAATACAGACAATATACTTCTACTCTAAGTGTCAGTACACTGTATATTGAGGAAAATGTCTGTTTAGTAACCGTGTTAACATTTTTTGTCGTAAATAGGTAAAAACTGTATAGATAGTCTGCTAATTAAATTAAATCTGTAAATAATGCGGATTGTTATCAATCAGTTGACATGTTGTTGACATTTTAGATTAAAATAATAAATTCTTAATTAAAAACTAATTTCTTGCATAAATAAACATTAAATATTTAACTAAGGTCCACCGAATTTAGATTTTAATAATGATCGGTTACAGGGAGAATTGTAGAAGTCAAGTTGAAGTAGCAAACTTATTTAATCAGAAGTATCCTCAGTTGCCTAATATTTCACAAGGTACTGTGTCTAAAATTTATGCACAATTCAGAGAACTTGGACATGTCAAAACATTAAAAAGAAAATCGAACTTCATTGAAGATGAAGGGAAAGTGGATATTTTCTTAAATGTCGCAGAGAATCCAACGTCAAGTTGACGTCAAATTGCACGTCAAAATAATGTGAATCACACAACTGTCCTAAGGTGTCTCCATGAAGAAAACTTCATCCATATAAATTGACATTTGTGCAGGAGCTAACAGAAGACGATCCGGATCGTAGAATGGATTTCTGCAAAAAAATGATGGATAAAATTGAATGATAATGAATGATAAAATGAAATAGCTCATATATATATATATATATATATATATATATATATATATATATATATATATATATATATATATAATATATAGATCCGACCTTATCCTTATCCGAACTTATATCCCAATTAAATAGATCCGTCCCTACCGCATGAAACTGTCTGGTTCCAGCAGGACGGTACAACACCCCATTATGCTTTAATGGTGAGAAATTACTTGAATGAAATCTTCTTCAATAAGTGGATTTGATGAAGGGAATTATTGAGTGGCCAGCTAGGTCGCCAGATCTTACGCCTTTGGATTTTTTTTGTGGGGTTATCTCAAGAACAAAGTATATGCAACACAATCAACTATCATTGAAGACCTCAAAAAGAAAATATAACTACAGAAATACGGAATATTTCACCTCAAACTTTAAACAACGTTCGGAATGAGTTTTATAGGAGACTATGTTATTGCCAACAACAAGGTGGAAAACATATTGAGCATTTATTTTAATGTAATCCAATCAATTACCTCGGGTATTCTATGAATTCATTGTCTTGAAGAAAATACCTAATTTCAAAATTTCACCTTGTATTATTCATAATAGACCCTACATGATATAGTTCGTTGAAATCAGGTTGTTAAGGAGCTATTAAAAACATGAAAATATACAGGGTGTTTTATTTAAAATATAGATTATGCACTATGCCAGATTTGCATTGATCACCCTGTACATTCAAATTTATGTCTAAAAAGCGTACATTTAAATTTAAAAGTTAAGGTATCTCAACGTTTTTTATTATTTTCTAAAAAAATGACACAAACAATTTTATTCCATAAGTGGTTTCCACACTGTATTTTATATATATATATATATATATATATATATATATATATATATATATATATATATATATATACATACAATATTATACAGGGTGGTGAATCCCTGCTTCCCTAATTATTTTACATCAAAAGTCATAGGAAACTATTTGTAGAGGACTGAAATATGTATTAAAAACAAATATTAAAATTGTTCTACGAATTAAATGTATTCCAAAATTTTGTAAAATTATAATACATTTTTCAGGCCACCCCTTAAAGTCAGGCCACACGAGGTACAAGAATATGTATGACATGTTGCGTTTGGTCATATTTATGATTCTGATATTCGACAATATTTGAATTGACAAAATTTTAATTATGTTATTTATTATTTAAAAAACAATATATTTGATTAAAAAATGTATTGAATTGAATTGAATTTCGTATGGCCCGTTTGGCGATTCACCACCCGGTATATATAATATTAAATATATATACAAAAGGAACATTTTTATTCTCGAGAGAGGAAGAGAGAGAAAATATATCTTCTGTCTCTCTCTCTCTCTTACTCATTATCTGACATATGTAATGGTTTCACAGATTCACTCCCATGCAAATTTCCAACGCCGGCCGTTCGTATAGAAGTATAACTTCAAAAAACCATTTGATTATTGTTATTTTTTTTATTTTTCACTTGCATATTATTTGTTTATTTTAGCTTGGATAGGGTTACCGTGAACACGCTTGTTATATCCTAGGGCATAATAAGCGGGCGTTATGGTTTATAATGCCCTGTGGTTTTTTTAGTTTTTATATTGTCTAATTTTAGTTTTTCTATTATGTGAAGTGAAAAGTAAAATCTTGTATACACTACTGGTGTTACCGAATGATTACGTCAATGGAGCAACATTCATCCCTCGGGCCAGAGACCTCTGACTGGATTATATTATATATATAATATATATATATATATATATATATATATATATATATATATATTATTATTATTTTTTTATATATTTATATATATATATATATATATATAATAATAATTATTATTATTATTATTGAACAGAAGATAGCAAATAAAGTGTAAAATAAAAGATTTATATTAAAAATGAATAAGTATTTCTATGCACTCACTTCTAACAATTTGGTCGGTGTAGGTCCTGGGCACCGCTTTTTTGTGCTAGGTAGCATAAATCAATTATTTGTAAATAAATTTCTAATTTTATGTTAACTAATCTTTTGTTATCGTAGGTTCTTCAGTGGTTAGTAAATGTAGGGCTATTGCCAGAGTGTCACCCTTCAACGTACCCCAGACCTGACAATTCGGAACGTATCAGTGCTCCATATTTTGCAAAAGAATTAACAGAATATTACAATGAAAGACGTGCCCAGTTACGGATATTGACAAAAGAAACTTTCGGAAACACCGATAGTCTTTTATTTATTGACAACTTGATCGAAAAGAAATGCGGAGGAAGAAATTTATTAAACCTATGGTATGAAGACCGTGGAACTGGCATGTATCCTCCGCCATCTTTACAAAGTTTAATAAGGACGTATTTGGTGACTGGGGCTGGAATAAATTACAAGCATTCTTTGGTGATTTATTTGTTTTTGGATTTGGCAATGGCTCTTGACCAAACTTGGTATGTAAAATTATTTTTTATTTTAACTTTTCGATTTGCACTTCGGAAATCGTCGATTTTTTTAATTTCGTGTACAGAAGCATTTCCGAAGTGGAAAACGAAATGTCAAAATAAACATACTTAAACTAAAATTGTGGTTAATTCCCTATAAAAATAATAAATAATATGTATTAAAATGCCACAAGAAAATAGCTTCAGAACAATGTTATATAATATTTAACCAATAGTAGAATTTAAAAAATATTTAAAAAAAAAATAAATCGATGGTTATAACACTAACATTTTACTGCTTATATAATTTTTATTTGCAAATGATTTTAAATATTTATTTTTAATGCAATCACTTGTTTTAATTTGACATATTATTAATCACATGTAACATAATTATTCTTAAGTATCTATTGTTATTGTAACTGTGATATTAGCGCCCATCGAGTTTTGGCAACAAATAGGAACCATTTGAAATATGCCTAACAACGCTAAATTTAAACTTCCACAGAACTATAGAACTTCAGCAACAAATTTTACCCAATGCCGTCTTCCTGTAAGCATTCCCAGTGACGTTAGATCGTTTGTAATGTGAAAGTTTAAATTCAGCGTTTTTTAGGCATGCTTCAAATACCTCATATTTTGGACAAAAGTCAAAATCGAAATTTCATGTTATAGGTTTTGAAGATTAGGCTATAATAATGGAAATTCCGTAGAGATAGGTCAATGGAAGTGATAAACTTTATTGATCTCATGCGAATCGTAAAAATGGCAAAAATCGCGCAATGTTTATTTATTTTACAGTTTTATAGAAACTGACTTAATTTGCGGCAAAATGCAAAAAATGTGTACGAGGCACTGTGTACGAAAAACAGTGCTTTTTACCGAAACAAAAATATATTCAGGGACAAGCAGATACGCCGAAACACAAAAATGAAATTATATAAAATGACTATAGGATCTATTATAACGGTCGGTATCTTGTTTATCCAGAATCGGCTTAGCACATGTATATCTGTGAAAAGCTATGTTGTATAGGTATTGCTCAATTAATTCATAGACTTTATTTATTTCTTTATTTGCGTAAATTCAAATATGGGACGTTGTTACAAGAAATGTATTAGTGTAAAACGAAGAAATAGACGGTTAGCTCTATAGAAAGTACTTTTTATATAAATTAAATTAATTACTTTTGTATTTTTCTGTAAAACTGATTTGTAAATATATAGTGAAAATGTCATTTATAAAATCGATCAGTAAACCAAGAATTTTTTCATTACATTTTATTTTCCTTTAAAGGAATAAACTATCTGTTTGATTTTTGTGGATTGTATGTTTGAGGTTATCACTACTAGCATTGTAGTAGAAGGTTTACATGTTAATACACTATAAAGAAACTGTAGGTACTAAGTATTATTATTATTTAAGTTGGAATATTATAGACGAGCACGATATTCTTGAGTGGCGGCTCAAAAAGTAGCAGAGATATTTATTAAGTAAGCCATACTTTTAATTTTTTTAACATGAAATGAATACGATCTTTCTATAACAGTCAATCCCGTATTTTCGAAGAACTTGCCAAGGAGAACATCTTCTTCTTTGAGTGCCTCTCCTATCGGAGATTGGATATCATTAGGGCGATTCTAATTATATTTACTGCTGTTTTGAATAATTCGTTAGTGGTACAGCCAAACCACTCTCTTAAATTTCTCATCCAGGACATTCTTCTACGGCCTGGATTTCTGCGTTCTTGGATTTTTCCTTGCAAGGAGGAGAATATAATAAAAGAATATTCAGCTACTACGTAAGTTTTTTTTACCAAATATAAAATGTAGTAGCAGTAAAAAGTACAGTAAACTTTTAAACATAAATAAATAATTTATATGTCTTTTAGACAAACTACTTCAGATTTCATATTACAAGGAAGAAGAATTGTAGATGTGCAATATTTTATTAGGCAAATACTGCAATTCCCTCACCACAGATTGTTCAATTGCTCTCGGAAGATATTACGGTAACTAGTGAAAAGCGAAAAGGATGTTATTCTAAATTTACTCTCTGTTGCCCAATGTGTCGCATAAAACATGAAGTAGACACTGAAAAATTTAAACAACTATCCCTCAACGTCAATTCTGCAGCAATAACTGGAATAGTTAGTATTGGTGGAGGATACACACAACTAACTGAATTACCGTCCAGTCTAAATATCCCACTACTATCAAAAAATATTATTTATTAATTCAAAATGATCTAATTGACTTATACCATGAAAGTTCTTGGACATCAATGCTTGAGGCTGGACAAGAAGAAATCAAATTAGCAAAAGAGCACGGAGATATTAATAAAGATGGCTATCGTTTTATAACTGTTGTTGCGGACTGCTCTTGGTCAAAGAAATCATATAAAACAAATTATAACGCCAATTCTGGAGCTGCAGCCATTATTGGTTACAGAACCCAAAAGATTCTGTATCTTGGAGTAACGTTAATTATACGGAGAAGATAAAGAACATGTATGTTATAAAAATTGGACAAAAGCTTCGACTACAATGGAAAGACAAATAATTCTAGATGTTATCAACAAAACAATATAGTTTCGATGGAAAACTAGTACCAATTTTCTTACGAAAGCTTTTAAAAAATAACATATTAAGATTAAGAACTGCTGTTACGAAAGCAACTGAATACCATCAACAGTCAGATAAACCAAGTGACTTAAGAATAAAGTTTTTGAAAAACGATACATCTAATATGCAGCAAGATTAAAATTCCATGCAAATAGTCTTTTAAAAAATATGAATAACAATTATGCTAAACAATATAGTAATGTAATAGCAAAGTTTCTAGGAGGTAAAACAATAAATTATAGCTCTCGGGGGTCCTATGACATGAGATGCCACGCTGCTGGTTTGTCTTCTTCTTCTTATGGTGCCTATCCGTTACGGATGTTGGACACTAACATGGCTATTCTGACTTTGTTGACTGCTGCCCTGAAAAGTCCGGTAGTGGTTAAGTTAAACCATTTCCGCAGGTTATGCAGCCAGGATATTCTTCTCCGTCCTGGACCTCTTTTCCCATGCACTTTACCTTGAAGTATGGTCCACCAAGTATGGTATGGTTACTATGAAGTATGTCGTACAATTCTAAAGGTCAATATCAACAAGCCCTTCACAAAATTATTAATAATTTAGTCTATTAATAAACTCTGAAATAATTTAATCTACTCTTCAACTAAAAGTACGAATAAAATGTGAAAGTGCATATTATGTCTGTAGTTGCAGTAAATAAATTAAACCGGGTTAATTTGTCTATGCACACCATGTGTCACTGAACAGCACCGGTTCCGACTAAAACATGGCTGATTCCTTCTGCGCGAAGGAGATGCGCGTACTTCTTTTTTTAAGCAGAGTGGGCATTCTGGTTGTTTATTATTCTGTGCTTAAGATATCCTATATATTGTTGAAACGATAATATAGTTAAAGTATAGTCATACGTTCATATACAAAGTGTTCTAATTAAGGAAAAAATATTCTTCTTCTTCATGTACCATGTTCTTTCGGAACGTCGGTTACCATTATAGCTATCTTAATTGTATTACGCTTTCCCTACAATTAAAATAAATATTGTTTGGCTAAATTCATTGGTTTAGGAGTTATTATTTTTTTAATGCCCTACAATTTAAGGAAAATCGAAATATCTCCGGAATTACAATATTAAGGTATAAAAAATGCAATAAAATACGGGAGTTCCATAAAAACAAACATACGTTTGATACGTCCACTTTATGAGACCCCTCGTATATTTCAAAATAATTTTAAAATTGCCTTTACATTTCCATTGCAAATTTATTTCGAACACTTTCGATATTACATCTGTTTTGAGAGTCGACAGACACGTTTTCCTAGAACTGCATCGACATAGATATAATAGTAGGGCATCGACACCCAAAAATTTCAAGCACAGATGTTTTTACCTCTTGTAAACACTCATTTATATGTAATTTCTTAATTTCTTGTAATTCAATAATGATAAGTTATAAATTATGATTAATAGGATCTTATTGCAGAGAATATTTGTTACACTTAACATACTTAATATCTTTTAATTAATAGTTTTTATTTTACTTTGAATGTAGGTACCTAGTTATTATACTATGTATTTTCCAGAGGCCTATGTAACCGCTTTTTTCTATATCAATAGACAAACAATTTAAGTTTTAAGTCTTAAAAGTACCATTGATATAGTCCAAGATAAATATTGTAAATAAACAATAATGGTAAATTGAACTGAAAGCTACAACATTGAAAAGTGGTGTAATCCTTAAACTCTAAAAAAAAATAAACAAAAAAATATGTAATGTGTAAAATGAAAAAAAAAAGCGTTATAATAATTCACTCAAGATATTGTCATGCGCCACCTTCGTAGCTTTTCATATCTACACCATGGGCACTTTAGTTTATTCCTAAACTCGCATTTACGATTATGAAAACAAACTCTTATAAAATAATACTTTTATTTGAACTTTAATGACTTCATCTGATACTTAGATCTTCCATAAATAATAAATAATAAATCATTTATTATTAATTTCACACCTTAAATTAATTATTTATTAAATAAACTATTAATATTATTTAATAAGCAACACAAAATATTCCTGAAGCCGTGTCAAACATTTAGTAGCTTTGCCACCACTTTCAGTTCGACTGAGTGCGTTGTATGACAAAGATAGGGAATGTTCGATTTGGAAAATATTACCGCGGACATAGTGTTCATTTTTTTCGAATCCTGAAAAAACTAAAACATATTTTTGAAAAATTTAAACGCAGAATGAAAGATTACATTATTACCGAGGCCGAAAGTCCCTTAGAATAAACAAAAAGTTTTTTTGAATGAGATATATGAGATTAAAAATCACACTAAATTTTCTCTTGTTTTTCATCCCTGTAACTAATTAAAATAAACATTATAGAAGTTTTCAGGGACTTTCGGCCCTCGGTAATGATGTAATCTTTCATTCTGCGTTTAAATTTTTCAAAAATATTTATTAGTTTTCTCAGGATTCGAAAAAAATGATTGCATTTAAAAAGCATTGGCCCGAAATTTTGCGCCTACGCTCTTAAGTGTATTTGCTTCAATAGAGGAAAAATAACTAAATATTTTTGAAAGAAATGTAATACGGAAAATATTGGAATCTAAGGTAATAAACGAAAATGAAGCAATGTTCTGAAGTAATCATGATATAAATATATGGATGAAAAAAAGAAGAACCTAGGGAAAGCCATAAAAACCCAGAGAATGAGCAGGTATAGAATGGTGTCAGAAAAGAAGAACTTAGTAACAATGCAAGCGGAATGGATACCACCAGCAAGAAGAACGTGAGAATGACGTAAGGTGTAGAGAGCAGGTAGAAGACGATTTGAAAAAAGGGAGGTACATAAACTACGTGGCAAAAGCAAAATCATTTATCAAAGATAATAAAACGAATAATTGGCCGATTTCTACACTACGAGATTCTACGGAAGTGTACAATTTGTGTATATACAGTACGCGTCTAAAGTCAGTCCCTGCTATTTTCTGAAAATAGCTTAATACGTATTTTACAGTTTCTGTCTGCAGTTAAGGTCTCCATTGTAAATGCTATTTTATTCAGGAATTCTTTTACTGTTGCATGTCCGGTAACATTACTGTTAGTGTTCTTAGTTTATTCTTGTACATTTTGGGCAGTTTCTCTCTTCTTTTTGTACATGGTCCTCCAATAAAGATATTTTCTTATGTGTTTGTTTTGCCCAACATCGCTCTCAATATCGCTAATGACTTCCTCGTACAGTCTTATCTCCTCTACAACCCTACATACTGCAGTTTTTGCTATTCTCAGGGTCACAGCTGATTCGTTCGATACTCTTTTAATAAGTTGATCTGCTTTTTCGTCGCCCTGATGCCCTGGTACCCAGACAAACTCAACTTAGTTCCGTTGTCCCAGTTCATTCAGTTGTCTGATGCAGTCCCATAAAAGCCTGGACGTCACTTCCTAACACGCCAGTGACTTCAGTGCTATGCTTGACTGTCGGCCAATATATAGATCAGCTCATTTTCAACCGCTCTTTCATTATTCCCCTTTGCATATTGTAGTATCGCATAAATCTTCGCTTGAAAAATGGTGCAATTCTTTCCCAAGGCATAACTGACGCCAATTCTTGGATTTTTGGAGTATAGTCCTGCTCCCACACCCTTTCCAGTGTTGGATCCGTCTGTATGCCAGATTTTACCCTGTTGGTTGTGTTACTCCTTGTTTATCCATACATTTGGAATAGACGCATTGTATGAATGTTTAAAATTGTATTTATTTGTCATGCGATCCGATTCTACATTAAATATGTCTTCCATCACAGTCCTTCTTATACTCATATGACTATTTTTTTTGTCAACAATACTCCCACACGAAATAAAATACATTTACAGCATATGCAAATTTGGTCAACACAGTTTTAAAAGAACTGGGTTATATTAATACTCCCTAAAAATGATAACTCAACTCGCTTTTATTTTGAAGATTTATTTTATTCTAACACGGTTACATTAGAATATGACATTACGATAATTTTATGCACAATATTACCTAATATTAATTCATTTTTAGGTATTCTTCAGTTGTAACGCATCTCATCAAATTCCCGGCGGTTTTTAAAGTATCTCCTAGCGTAATAAAGATAACACAAGCCTTTTGGCAATTAGATCACGGTGATTTCACAACAGCCATGGAACAACTTTTGGACCCTTTTGTGCTTGGCGAAGACCTTCAGCCGTGGCATCATAATATTGCGATGAGGTCACTTTTACTGCATAAACAGCCGAACTTTGCTTTACTATACATGCAAATAAGAAAACCACCGATTACAGACGAGCATGATGTACTAACTGCCATCAGTTTATTTATAGCTAATAACATGTTAGACGAAGCTTTTTATTTCAAGAAACAGCATCAGAATAAAAACGAAGAACAATTATTAACACATCTATTTAATGAATGCAGGAAAAACGATGCTTTACATTTAATACTCTACAAGTGCTTGAACACCGATGAAGAAAAAGCGTTCTTTGATTACCTCAAGGCTATCAAAAATCCAACTTCAGATGACCTTCAAATTTTTTATTACCTCTTAAGATCTAGATTCATTGAAGCTTTCGATACTCATTCAAATATAAGGAGGAGATGTCCAGAAAAACAGGGCTTAATAGGGCAGAGTATGGCATCAAAGACGGACCAAATTGTTAAAATATTCAAGACGTTATTACCAGATGTCAATAAGAACTTAGTCGAATATATTAGACGAGAAAGAACTAACCTATGGAAAGAAGGTATGTATGCTCTTACTATATTTTTCATATGTGTTAAGATAATATTAGACAGTGCATTCACAAATTCGCCCCGTACTCCTCTTTAGAGTCTCTTGACATCACTGTTATAGTCGGCACGTAATTTCGTGAGAAAATTTACAGAGATCAAAGCAAGCAAAATACTAGTAAAATGGCAACGCTGTTAGAGTTACCACTATTTTATTGTAGTACATAGTAGTAGAACAGTAGCGTAGATATCTAATTTTAAATTAAATAAAAGTTTTTACTTTTATTTAATTTTATTTACCAAAAACTGTAAATGTGTGTGTTTTTAACTTCTGTGATATATCTTGGGAGTGATAACACTATTCGACTCGACTGAACAGATCTTATTGTAAAATAATAATATCTATATAAAACATTGTTAACAATAGTAGTTATTCAGCGAGAATGACAGTGACAGTTTCAGTTGACATTCTCCCCTAAAACATTAATAATTTTTGTCCTATCAAGAAGTGTGTTTATATCCTGTTTTCAAAGATATATAAGCAAAATGACAATATCTACAATTAAAATAGAAATAAAGGTTTCAACTAACACCTAATAAGTACTTACTATCTACTCAGAATCACTGTTATCACTAGTATCACTCGTATCATCTAAATTTATAGGTAATTTGGTTAATGCTGGTAAATATTTAACATAGTCATTTTCCACTCCGATCACATGTTTTATTTTTATTACATTTTTCCAGTTGGTTGCTGTAATTTTTGTGACTTCTTTTCTAATTAACTGAAGAACAGTAGACAAAAAATTTTGGAGCAACGTTTCTCCTATTATATGTCCTGTAAGTTGAGCCCATATTAACTCTATTGGGTTCAATGTACAATAATAAGGAGGAAGTCTAAACACAGTATGCCCGTTACTACGAGCTCAGTTGTCAACAACATATTCCTTTTCGTACTGTTTACTATGAACAACCTCCAACAATTGCTTTTTAATATAAGATGTCTCAAAATACAAATCTTCCGTGAATAAAAATTCCTGAATTTTTAATTTATTCCAACTATTATTTGAAGTTTTTGTCATTAATCTTGAATGATATGATGCGTTGTCCATGATAATCACACTATCTTTAAGTAATTTCGGAAGAAGACATTTTTCAAACCATGATTCAAAAATTGAACTTTTCATATCGTCATGATTATCCAGAGACGCGTTTTTAATTTGTTTTGCAGATATTAATAATGCATCGTCGACCCATCCATTTTCTCCACCGCAGTGTAAAATTATAATCCTCTTTCTTTTATTGGGCGGTACTGAGTTGAAACACTTTTTGTTATTATTTGTCCAACTTTTTTTTCACGGTGTCATGAGTATCATACCAGGTCTCATCTAAATAAACAATATTTCGTTTCATTTTTCGATACTCAGTTATCTGTCTGATATAATTGTTTCTTAAAGAAATTATTCTAGTACTTTCCATTAATGTATGTCTCTTGTCTATAGTTTTGTACTTAAAATTATTGGCTTTAAGAAATAATCAAAGTGTTGTTGCTGAACACGAGAGAATGCACTTTCGAACTAATTCACTTAGAAGGCTTTCAACAGTTTTAAAAAATATTAGCCGCATATATTTAGTATATTGTTCTAGTTATAGATTCAATTAAGTGCGGTTCTATTTTTCTGAATTTGCCACAATCCTTTCTCTTCTGTCTAGAAGAAGATGTTTCTCCTATAATTTTGTAGCAGGTTGCTTTGGGCACTCTGGTTAAAAAACATGTTTCTGCAATTGCCTCTGATTTAGACAATTCAGCACACAGTCCTTCATAAACATTTTTTAGCATACGTTTGGCATCATCAGAAAGGTATTGAAAATGTCGCTTACGTTTTACTACACGCCTTTGTAAATCTTTCAATCGATTAGAGGGTTCCACTGTCTCTTCAGCTACATAATTATTATCGCACCACGGACGCAATATTTTAAAATTATCAAACGTATAAAAACATAATCACGTAAAAACGTATCAAAAAAAGTAAAAAACGTAAAATATATAATGTTTTCCGTATAAAGAACACTGAAAAAAGTCATTACGAAACTAACTTGCGGTTCATTATTTGAAATTTGAATTTAACTGAACGCTGTAGCAGTTATGATTTTACTAAAAATATTCTTGTCTCCCAAAAATCTGTTGGTCATATCCGCAATTTAAAAATAAAATATTATAAAAATTTGCCTACCTAAGTTTTCCCCGTCCCGTGCCTTCGGCACTGGACGGTCGAAACCTGATCCCTTATTTTATGACTCCGTAAGCTCAGTCAAATACTGATATAATCTTACCCCAAGTATGAATAAGTCTACCGACAAAAGAAAATGCATTATGATTTGTCATAACAGCGATATCCGATGTTTTCATTGGCCGTTAGTCCACGTGGACTTATCATAAGTTCGATGAAAACTTAATTGGTTGATTGTTCATATCTGGTTCATATTTTAAAAGATTATACCAGGCACGTCTGAATGTTAATATCGAGTGGAATCTGGAAACTTTGTATTATTATACGTCTGAGTCATTGATAATTTTACAGACTCCTGGTAGAGTACCTTTTTGTTGAATGATTTTATTACAGATACATATATTTTTGCACAGTCTCACGGAAATACGAGGCTACTATACATTTATTTTAGCCAGCAGAAATATTCACTGATGTTTCGTTACATATTCACGTGATCATCTCAGGTTAGTTCTCTTGTTGAAGCGAAGCTTCTATACTGGCGTTGTATTACTTTCTCTACAGTAAAATGCTGAGGTGAGCGTCACAGAACTAGCGCCACAAGATTGGCTCGTCACGGGTAGCTTCATCGAATAGCGGTTATTATGTCGATTCACTACTATCGATCAATTCATATCTAATCATCATATATTTACTCGAAGCAGGTTTAAATTAAAAACTGCATGAAAAATAACTATCAAAATATAGACATTAAATGAGAATTAAAAATTTAAAAGAATCCGTCACTAAATGATTCGATTCGTAACGATTGTCAACATTTATTAAAAGTCGTAAATATCATCCGATTAATAACAAGATTGAATCATCTGTTTAAAGTTGTTATACCAATTCTCGTTTTAAAATAGTTTATATAAGTACAAATTTTGTTTTTAAACATATAATTTAGTTTATATAATAATTAAATTTACTATCAAATGATAATTATTTATATATTTTATTATTAATATTTGGTCTCAATTTGACAGATTTGTCATAATTTAACAAAGTATGCTTTGTTAATACGTTAACGGGTGGCGTTAGGAGCAAACAATTATTTATTAAATTTGTTTAATATATAAAAAAATAAATAAACAATAAAATTACTTTATTTCATTTTAAATACATTATTTCAATTTTACAAATACAGAAAACATAGTATGAAGTTCCGCGCTATTGGAAAAAGGTTTAAAACTTAGTAGGACAAAAACCTTGAAAAAAATTGAAAATTGTGATTATTTCGACATATCATAACGAGACCTTTTGATTGACCATATCTTGACTCAATGTCCCGCGTCCAGATGAATAATAATGCTTCAAATAAAAGATTTGTTTCTCGAAATTAATATATAATTAACCCATACCTATTTCTAGGTTCCTAAATTTAAACATACATTTAACGTTTTTATTTGCTATTTTTCTTTTTTAAAATTCCTTAATACATTATGATTCAGGGTTGGCTATTCTATTCTGTCATGATTTCAAGAAAGAGCTTTTTGTAATACCAATTATTTCGTGCTGGCATTTCTTAGAAATTCAAACAAGATACTGTTGCTCCTAGCTTTATTTTTCGATCTATTTTATATAAACGAAACCTTATGATAAACTTTAGAATATTGTGACATTTTTTGTAATTTTGTTGTTGTAATTTTTAATGCATTTTTTTAACTTACAACTTTTTATCATATAAAACCGTAGTATTTGACATTAATTTACACAGAAACAAAAACAAGAAAAGCATTAATCATTGGGAAGAAGCAAATCGTTGCTCTAACAAACGAAAACACTAGACTTACATACAGAAATGAAATAATACAACTTGTGACTAAATTCTACAGAGAACTATACAAAGCCTGACACGCTTGAATAAGTAATCAGTAACCAAGAAAATGTACCAGAAGTACCAAAAGCCTGACACGCTTGAATAAGTAATCAGTAACCAAGAAAATGTACCAGAAGTCATTCCGGAAGAAGTAGAATCGACAATTACAAAAATGAACAGCAGTAAAGCAGCTGAAATAGGTGGTATAACAGTGGAACTGCTTAAATACGCTGGCAATAAAATCTGGAAAATCTTAGCAGGCATATTTACGATCTGCCTAAGATAGAGATGCATACTAGACCACTGGAATAGAGCAAACATAATTCTCATTCATAAGAAAGGTATCAAAGAGAATATCAAAAAGTACAAACCTATAAGTCTACTACAAATCATATATACTTCATCTAATTTACTTACCGTTGCATGTCATCCGCGTCATAGTCCGTGAGGTCACATGATGCCAACACGAAATATTTAAGCGGTAGGTGTGTTCCTTTTTAGAATCACTTTGACGAGTAAACTAGCATTACAGCCACTAGACATATTTTATTATATACGCGTAGAAATAATATTTAAAGATTTGTATTAATGTTAACTTAAAGAAATACACAATAATATGTTTCATTTAATTTGTATAAATGCATTATAAAGCGTTTTTATCAACAACATTCGTTCGGAACACACTGTAACTGTAATCGAACGAAGGTGATATTTTGGCATAAATTGGTAACACTTATTTGACAGTTGCGATGTTAACATTTTTTGTACTTTATTATTTTGAATTTTAGAGTGAATACCTATTGTTTTATATTTTTACCTATTTAATAAAAGCTGTTCTTTTTAGAACAAAATTAGTATGTTTTCTTTCAAAAATGTCACGTAAGAATTTAAATAGTCGTTGTAAAGAGATGGTAATACTTTTGCAATAATTATGTGACCTATTTGATTTAAAATGGAGTCAGGATTTTTTTATACTTTGGCAACTATGTCAACTTCGATCTCTGTCAATGATAATGACGTGCAACGGTAAGTAAATTAGATGGAGTATACAAGATATTCACAAAGATCATCAACAACAGATTAACAAACGCATTAGATGCTGCACAGCCAAAAGAGCAATCTGGCTTCAGAAGTGGATTCAGTACCATGGATCATATTCATATGCTTTGAGAACTAATGAGTAGAGCTAAAGAATATGCAATACCGCTAGCCCTACCTACCCTAACCTTTATAGATTTCGAGAAGACTTTCGATTCTATATATTCCAAGGCAGCATTTGAATCTTTGACAAACCGTACATAGAAACTTTGGCAAATATGTACAGACAAACAAAAGCTAAGTAAAAATTTATGAAAACACTCAACGCAATATCACCAAAGCTCTTTACTGCAACTTTAGAAACTATATTCAGCAAACTGAACTGACAGAACAAAGGAATATCCATTGATGGAGAATACCTCAGCCATCTAAGATTTGCAGACGACATCGTTCTGATTGCTAATAATCTTGCCGAACTTAAAGAACTTATAAGCGACCTAAATGCAGCTAGCAATGAAGTTGGTTAGCCTAAAAATGAACTTGACAAAAACCATGTACAACGAACTAGTGGATGTCCAAGATGTAATAATAAACAAAACTGCACTTGAGACAGTAGACGAGTATGTATAACTGGGACAATTAATACATAAATCTGGTTCCTTACTTCCAGAAATCAACAGAAGAATGAAACTGGCTTGGGCATCTTTTGGTAGAAATTCAGTTATATTCAAATCGAAGATGCCAATCCACCTGAAGAAAAAAGCATTAGATCAGTGTATACTACCAATCTGACATACGGCTGCGAAACTTGGACACTAAAGAAAGAGATAATAGCGAAATTCCATAGAATTAAATATTTAAAATGGCATTGGGCGGCATATTTAGCGAGAAGAACTGACAATAAGTGGTCCTCTAGAATTACACTGTGGTATCCCATATGCGTCAAGAAAACCAAGACGTTCAAATTTAAGATGGGACTATGGCATAAGGAAACAAGCCAATATAACATGGTACAGAAAAGCGAATTTTAGACAATCATGCACAGAAATTAAGAATGACTATCTAAGAGAGGCTGCACCATAATCGGTAGAATATACTGAGAATGATGATGATAATGATGTATTTCGGATGATATAATTAGTCATAGAATATAATAGAGGTTTAAAGAGTTTCATTGTTAAAAAAAAGTGATATTTGTTTTTTATTAATTCGTTGTTAACTTATTAACTCATGACTTTTACTTTTATAAACAAAATGATAAAATTCAATCATCGTAATGAAAAATTTCCCATATTAAACTACATCCAGTTATTTTGAATATGTATCAGAATAATATATACTTATTTCAGTTAAACGTCCCACTCCAATGTCGGTTTTTGTACACGACACTAGTGAACAAGTTAAGTACAAATCCACTCTAATTCACGCCGCTTTGGCTAAAGCTAAACGGACGTTCCCAGAGATTATTGCTGTAGACGACTGTAGAGATTTGAAGACCGAAGAAACGCCATTCTTGAGAACTCCAACAATATGTAGAAACGGGAAAAGGTAATTATAAGCATTGTATCTTCCTACCAAGTCATAGTCATCTTTGAATATTGATCTCTGCAGTTTTATCTATGTCTTGAAGTATTTGAATCCATGTTGGTCGGTCAATTGTTTGAGATGATTCCTCTATCTAAATTGCGGATTTATTTTTTTTTTGCTTTTGTGATTTCTGGTACATATTACGTATCCTAGATTTATTTAATCATATCTGTTCTCACCTTGTCCCAGGTAGGTACATCCAACGAATTTCCAATACAGATTTGCTGCTTTTTATTCTTAATATTAACTATAAAAGCAACCTTGAGCAGTATAGTTGCCTATTAGAATTGTATGGAGTCTGTATGGTCAAATAATCAGAGGACCAGAAGAAGATAAAATAGAAGTATTGAACGTTGCCTGCAGTCGTCATTTTTGGCCTGAAGTAAATGCACTTACTTATTTCAAGAAATTTATGTAAATACTTCCCCTCCTCGTACATGTACTCTTGGAACACGATTGAAGTATCTGGCAAATGGAGTTTAATTTAAGGTCCTTAGTCGGTGGTCACTATGGAGGGTGTCTCTATTTCAGTAGATTCGTTTGATTATTTTTGTAGTTTTTGTTGGCATATGAGATAACTGTAATAATTGCTAAAACATATAGACACTAGATGTGTTTTTTTGTTTTAAATCTTCTTATAATTTAAATTTTCAGGGCCTTTACACCAGTGATAACTCCAAAAATAATCGACATGAATGATGAAGATTCAGCCTCTGCAAGTAAGAGAATGCGAATAAGTCCAAGATCTGAAATTAAAAGTCCACAGTCTCCAATTAAGAGAGTAGATATGCCGTTTACTTTGACACCAATTGTTAAAAGAAAAACGTCCTTACAACGCGATCTGTCTTCATCATACGACAATCTGAATTTATGCACCCCTCAAAGTATTTTAAAGGTAAATATTTAATTATTTTAAGTAGTACTTAGAGAAATTATTTATCATTGACTTCTTTAACTATATTATGATCAAGAAGAATACAAACATTAGAAAATTAAACAAATATTTTTTTTGTTACTTGGTGAAAAATTCTTTTAATAATTTAATTTTATCTGACTCATTTATATTGATAATTCAGATTGCCAATATTGTTTAGTTGCGTTCCTGGGACGACTTTACTTGTAAGCTAGTTCATTCGATTACATGAAATTAACTTTAACTTGAGATTTTCATAAGAAAAATCATAGCATGTAATTCGTCTTTAAAAAGGCAAACACATGCCATGATGACAGTGAAATTCTCCTATTAGTGATTACATAGTAAATTATGAGGGAAAAACCGGGAAAAACCTCATAATACTTATTTTTGATCTGGGTTTTCCCTCATAATTTACTATGGAATCACCAATAGAAGAATTTTTTTATCATCATGGCATGTGTTTGTGTTTTTAAAGACGAATTACATTCTATGATTTTTTCTGATGGTTATTTAAGTTAATTTCATGTAATCGAAGGAACTATCTTACAAAGTAAAGTCGTCCCAGGAACGCATCTATAGGCTATTCCACGAATATACGACTGTTTTGGTTTACTGCGACAACGAATATTTTACTGTGCAAGTAGAAGTATGAAGGCCCATTGGTCTAATCATTATTCCAATAAAAAGGGCTACTAGTATGACATTTGAACTAAAATTATTTCAGTTAAAATCTACAAATAAATACAATGACGTCTATGAAGCCAAATGTGTTCATCAGACATTTGGGTAAGCTTTCCGTGAAATGTAAACACCAAAGAGGCGTGCCGGGTTTCTTTGATATAACCCATTTTATTACTTTATTAGGTATTACAACTGTAATTAAAAGAAATATACTATTTTTAATATAAATGAAAAGAAATTGGCAGAACGATGGTTCACAAACCAGAAAAAGGATCTAATATTCCACTTTGTTAGTTTTAAATATTTGTTTGCTTTGAGTTTATGTACTCTTAAAAGTTCCGAAAGTAACGGGTATAACATACCGGCTATTGATAGTTAAAGTACCGAGTCGTTACAGATATTAAAAAGTAACGAAAATTTATATACAATTTCATATATCGCCGACTGATTATGGCTGTGAATCTGATCATTGATGATAGTTTTAGAAGATTAAGAGAATACGTGAATAAGTAAGTTTTTTTGTTTTTTGAATATTAATTGAATATTCGACTAAAAAATTTACACTATTTGATCACTTAAGTATTGTGACATTTCGTTTAAATCACATAATTCAAAAACCAACTTGTTTACAATGAAATAATTCAATTGAAAAAATAAACTCCATGATTATATACTTTAAAATCTGAATTACAACTGGTTTATAAACTATTAACTTTATATTTATATCATGACTTCATATTTAAATCTAAGGTTTATATCTGTCGTAACAGTATTTTAAAAATGGGGAGAATTCACTATTGTACAATTCAATACATTGGACTATTTAAGTCGACACCTTAAAGCGAATTTAAAACAGTCGTATATTCGTGGAATGGAGTATAAACAATATTGGCAATATCATTTTAAAGTCGTCTACTTTAAAATGTATAATGTATGTCTGAATTGCCAATATAAATGAGTCAGATAATATTAAATTATTAGAAGAATTTTTCACCAAGTAACAAAAAAACAGAATTTGTTTAATTTACTAAACGATTTTCGAAGTGGAAATTGAAACGTCAATAAACTGATTTTAACTTTTAATTGTGGCTTATTCCCATTTAATAGTAAACTGTGGCATTTTAAAAATTACTTTAAAATGCCATAAGAAAATAGCTTCAGAACAATATATTTTTATTTACTGGGTGCATAAAATGGGCATTTAAAAATATTTGTTTTCAGTAGGGAAGGTACTATTTCGGTATTTACTTTACATGTCTTTTTAGTTGTTTTTTTTTATAAAAGTGACTATTATTTTTATTGCATTAAAATTAAACTTAAATAGGGTAACTCCTTAGATTTTAGAAATCTATAATGTAAGGGTAAATCGTTAGTAAATCATCAACTTGTTAGAAATCACTAATGCTATGGTTATGTTTAATTGATAAAAACAATAATGAAAACAATGGGACGGGATTATAAGGTAGTTGTAGTGTTGTTGCAAGTGCAGTATGCTAATACATTTTTTTTTTGTTGTTACATTGCATATTTACAATCTACTCTATACACAGAGTAATAAGTAAATAGTCTGAAAGTAAATTAACGTGAGTTAGGTACCTTCCAGTGAGGTTCTATAAGTATTATTGCGGTAGGTCTTCTGGCCATACCCTCTTCAATATTCTTTCGGCAAGTGGTTGGGTGAATAAATTATTTATCAGTTCGTTATATGTTTATATCAATTTATATCGTTTTGCTAATACAATTGAAGTTCAAATGGGCAAAACATGATAGAAAAGCAACTACGGCTAATACTGTGGAAATTGTTTGTTGGTAAGGGAGATATATTAGAACCAATTTTAAATTATGTTATGTTATATTGAAAGTGATAACGGGTTCTTAGAAGGTGATTCTGTAATATTTCAATCTAAAAAAACAGAAGACTATGATGAAAATAAAAACAGTTATTTATCATTCACGTCAGTTCGTATTTGAATTCCGAACAGTAAACACGTACTCATATCGCTCTCGAGATTCAAGTTTCAAGTTTTTCTGCCGGCCTCGGCTATCGGCCGGGACTAGTTTATTGCTGATAATTAGTGAAATAAAAATAAAAGTAAATAACTATTCTTAAGTGATTAATTTTAAATAACTATTTATGTGATTAATTTTTAACCAGTGGCGCACTATACTAAGGAAATGTACCACCAAAATTTACAAAATCAAGTGCCAAATGGGGAGTTGTATAATGTGCCCCAAATATATACCCAGCCTCAACAACCTCCAATAATATCGCCCCCATTCTATGGGTTCCCGAGCAATGTCCAACAGGTAACAAACCAATATATACCGGCTACTCCATTCCTAAACAATAATCACCAATATAACCTAAACCCTCCTGCACCTCCAATGGATCAACCAAATACATCAAATGCCACCCAATACACCCCCAGCGAAGAGGAAACTGTCATGGAAAACTCGAGCGACCAAGACGACGAAACCATAGAAAACGTTCACGATTGGCAAACAGTCAAAAAAATTACAAAAAAAAGGAAGGCAAACCCCAAAGATGACAACACAACAACGCAAGTGAGTACAAACAACAGATTTGAACCATTAGAAAACTTAAACGATAGTAATAACACACCAGTAACACCTAAACCTCCACCTATATTTATCTATGGGGTAAATGATATTAAAAAAATGACTGAAAACCTATCAACAGTCATTAAAGCTGAAGACTACCAGTTGAAAGCTCTTCCAAATGATACAATAAAAATAAACCCAAAACTATAGAATCATACAGAAAACTTATACAGCATTTAAATAGCAACAAAATAGTTCACCACACATACCAAGCAAAACAAGGTAGAGCTTATAGGGTAGTTATATATAAGGAATTTACACCACTCGATGCCGGTTGAAGAAATAAAAAGTGAACTAGTGTAACAAGAATGAAAGGGGCTGGAGCGCCAGTAACAAGAGGAGAAGGCTACTTGCCAATGTGACAAGAATGGGATTTGTTTCTGATGAAACAATGTAACCGGAATGAGGACTGTGTAGTGTAGCAATAGGGTAAACTCTAAAATGTCCCTTGATACACCAACGGACTCATTCCGGTTACATTGTTTCATCAGAAACAAATCCCATTCTTGTCACATTGGCAAGTAGCCTTCTCCTCTTGTTACTGGCGCTCCAGCCCCTTTCATTCTTGTTACATTGGCGCCCAACGTGGGGCCTTTTCGCAGTTCAGACCGTACATTCTTAGAATATTTCTCTTTGCAAATATTCTTTATTATTTATAATTTGTTTCCTGTTGCTCTTTGTTCACATTTTTAACTTCTTTATTTACTTATTGTTTTTCCTTATTAGATTTACATTTAGAGGTATACTTGTATTGCTGTAGTTTACATATTTTCATATTTAAACCCTCACCTTGTAATCTCATTGTACAGTTGACTATCTATTTTACTATTATTGAACTTTAAGAATTTAATAATTTAGATATTACTATTTTTTATACATATATATATTAGCCAATATTGGTGGGTTCTTATATTCAATTTTGATATTCAATTATTTGTTAACCATATGCTTGTTGAAACCATTGTGTGTTGCTTCAAGGATTGTGTTTATATTTACTTAACTTACTTAACCATTTTGAAATTTTGGTGAATAACTGTAGATTATTCTTGGATTGATTTTGTGGTGTGTTGGTACATATTTACTTATATATTTTTTTTTTGAAAACTTTATATTACTATTCGATTGTTTTTGTGGAGTGTGAGTATATTATCTCCTTGTCTATTCTAACTATTCGTCTATTTGTTTTTTTTTCACAATGTCTGCATTCAAGGTAGAACATTTGTTAGTGAAGGAATTGGATTACGAGTTAAGGATTAGGGACATCAATATTGATGAGTCTTCCAGTGTTGATACGAAACGCAAAATATTGCGTGGAGCTTTAAGGCAGGAAGAAGGAAACAGGAGTTTTCGGCTGATTTCTGCCTCAAATATTCCTTTTGAGGTCCAACAGCAGGAGATTGAGGAAACTTTGGATGATTTAGCGAAAAGGATAGCCGATTTTAGAGGGACTGTCCAAGATAGCCTATATTCCAGGCTAATATCACGCCTAGCTCACATCTCAGGTCGTGTTCATTTATTATCTGTTTCAGATGAGGCACAACAAATCTTCCAACGCTCTGTTTCTGTCCGAATCTTAAGTCTAGAGGGCGAACTTGATTCTCGAGTGAGCCCAATAGCAACATCAACTCCAGTCTCTTCTATCCAAGCAGCAAATGCATTTCTACAACCCAAACCTG